ACACATTTAACTCATTATGATTTTATCTTTGTTGAACATGACTTCCGTTTTGTTCAATAATTCATTACATTAAAAGATAAGCTGACCAGAACAAATAGTCTAAATGTTCATCATGATATGAAACATGACATTTTTTGCTTTGGAGTTACTTACGATCGGATACTAGTACCCTAAGAACATCCTCTACTCTTACTGGTCATGTTTCACATCTGTAAAGTAGGGCAGAGTGTGCTGATACACAGTAAACTCTTCCTTTGGTTGGCAGATGGATATCTGGAAGGACATCATGAGTGAGATCAGTTGGCAAAAGTCATTTAATATTGAATAAAGCCGTTATTATTATTGTTACCTTTGAAAACTTTCAGACTAAAGTAGCTCGATGTTCAAAATTTTTCCATTTAAAGACTTCAATTTCAATCAACTTTTCATTTTGCTGGTAATTCAATTACGTTTAACTCTCAAGTTTTAGAACTGGCTTGTTCCTAAACATACAGATAATATATATATATATATATATATATATATATATATATATATATATATATATATATATATATATATATATATATATATATATATATGGCTCAAAATCATTTGCAATGGCACAGGTGCATGCACTCTTTGTGTTCTCTCAAATCATAATCTTCTGGATTGGTCAACACATCTACCTTTGTCTTTCTAAACTTATTTCACTGAATTATGCTTCGTGAATAATATCTTGGAACTCTAATCTTCTCCTTTACCAGTAGTACTTCTGTTATCTCTACCACTATGGGATTCGGATTAACAATTGCGTCTCTGTGCTGATGTGGTATGGCAACATGAACTGATGTACTTACGTACGAAGTTCTACGTCGCATCTGACTGACTGAATGAACGTATGTTGTAGATTACACTGTTTACCATTACCAAACTTTGCTATAAAGTATTTTTTTATTTCCAGTTAGAATTATGGAGATTAGTGTTTTTACACATTTGAAATCATCAATCAATCATTGTTAGACCATTATCAGAAACCTGGAAGCACTGCACGATGGCCGTTTCATCCTGGTGCGGGACTCATCAGCAGTGCGCATCCACAACTCCTGCACCTCGCAGGATTGTATTTTTCTTTGTGTCACTGTTAATCAGTTGAATCGCTTTAACATTATCCTTGATAAAATATAAGTCACAAGTTTATAACCTATTTTAATATGTGAATCAATAATGGCATGATGAATTCATGTTTCAATATGATCAAAACTTATCATCTGATGAATATATATAGAGATTTTCATTTTCGGTATATTGATATTTACAATGTGATTCATGTAGATTTATTAAAATCATTTTTAAAAACAAATTTAATGCATGTAAATTTATCTTTCATTGAACATTGAACTGAATATTGTTATTTAAAAAAATTTAATCCAATTTTTTTCTTCTTTGTATATGACCTGATTACTTGAAATACGTATGTGCATGAATCATTGAATTATCTGATTAATGTACCGAGATGTTGAATTTTGAAGTTTATACCTACTAGTATCATCAGTTATCGATTATCACAATGAAAAGTAATCAGTGAATAATTTTCCTTTTTATTTTTTTTGATTAAATTAATATGAGTAGGCTAAACTGAATTACAGGCGATAAAATTAGAATAAATGTTCTGTTCGAAGACTACTGAGTGTGTGTGTGTGACTGTGTTTATGTCCATTGTGTCCATAATCAGTTAATCGAATAATTGATTTCTGTGAATTTATTGTGAATATTTTATCGCTGAATGTTCAGGTTTTATTTTAATATCCATATAATATTTAAATTTTTTGTATAAAATTAATACGTGAATCACTCAAAGAACGTACTGCATATAATATCACGTCGGTTATCATCTACGTGTTGGGGATGTTAGATCCTCAGAACTCGCTTGATAAATATCTTTATTCTGGATTTATTTCAGGGACCAATCAGTTGACCTTGAGATCATATTTCCCACCAGGATAATCCTTGGCTATGATTGGTTACTGTGTCATTTTAATGTGCTATTTTCGTGACTGTCCCAAGGACGTCTCGATGATGTAAAAATGAAAAACGCAATTTGAGTGTTTGGATTCATTGTGTGATTGCTGGGTATTTGTAGAATACACTTTCTACTCTATATCACGACTTCTTGCTGGTACGATTGGGACCGTCGGATGACAGTATCCTACCTGGACGCTGGGTGATTGTTTTGTTCTTGTTATTCGACTAAGGTGAACCCATAATAGCTTCAAATCTCATAGTGGTAGATGTAAATGACATTATTAGCAGTAATAGAGAAGATTAGGGTTCGAAGGTATTACATAATACAGAAATATTAATTATACCATGAAATCGCTGACTTACTAAAGAACACTGAGATGCTTTACATAAGCATAGAAAAGATAACACTCTGATCATGATTATGCCGAATGAAAGAGAAGGACTAGTTCTGATGAATAAAACAAATTACACTGATAAAATGAACATAATTTTGAATAATAATTGGACTAAATTTCAAAAGTTCAGTGATGTTTAGGATATTAATGTGAAGACAGAGAAATTGTTGACTATTTCCCTTAAAGGGCACAATTACTCCTACCTTGCATGATTTATTTAAACTCGTGGGATTGAACACACCATGGCTCTACGGTCTATCTAAAGTCCGTAAACCAGGATTTCCTTTTTGTCTCGATATCATAAAACTGCAAAATGCTTGGTTCCAATCCTGGATCCATTACATAGATTAGTGGTTAACAGAAGTGGTAAGGACGTTTTAGATATCATTTTCATGATGAAACAGGTTAATTTAAATGATAAACGGATGATATCTCTCTTAAATGCTACTTATTTATTTCATTACTGGAGTCGTGGATGCGCACTGCTGATGAGTCCTATACCAGGACGAAACGGCCGTCATGCAGTGCTTCCAGGTTTTTGATGGTGGTCTAGCAATAATTGATTGATGATTTCAAAAAACATGTGTAGAAACAGGAATATCCAAGACCACAGTGGAGCTCGATTTGTCGAAGCCTTATCCACCAGAAACATCGTTCTTTTAAATTTTTTTTAACCCCTGACACATATATGAGTTTGTTTACATTTAACTTAGCTAAGTCCTTTCATTAACTTATTTAATAGATAGCGTCAATGGAACAGCAACATCTTGTCTGTACCATTGTACTTTTGTTATTGTTGAGTTCGTATGAATTTGTCTACTGAATTTTGTAAACCGTTGGGCGTTATCCAGTCACTGGTATTAGGACTGGAAATTTACGCTGTTCAGTAATTATATCAAATATCCACTACCACAATGTTTTACATTGAATTATGTTGATGAAATCAAGTGAAGATTATTTGAAATCGAACGAACTATTTCACTGAAAAAATATAAATATGAAATGAACTAACCGAAGAAGAATGTACTATTACTCCAGAACCCATACATACAGTGTCAAATAAACATTCAAAAGACATGAATCTAAAGTAATGAAAAGTCTATTATAAACAAAGATACACATTTCTTTCTCAGAAATACCTAAGAAATCCGTCTTCACCTACTCTAATATCCGTTTATTCACAAGTTAGTTTTGTTATTTTCTGTTCTCAAAATAAAATGACCTATTTGTGATTGTGGAAATTTTAGTATAGAAAATTTTAGAATCTAATTAGACAATCACTGAGAAAAATAAAAAGCCTGGAGAAAAGATGTTTTTTTCCCTAGTATTAGACTTCTTAGCATTGTGCAGACACAGTACCACCAGTGACCAAATTTAGAACATTCAGATTACAAAGTAAGTGTTTAAACATAAGACAATTGAGTTAGAATTCATTGAAACACACATTCATGTTTAGTTAATTTGTGTATGTTTAAATTAATTAATCTTTCATGGTAAATTACTACAATTTTCGTTAAGATTACTAACTGTAGCAGTTCACATCTAGCGAGAAAGTAGTTTGTATACTATAGGAGAGCATCGAGAGTATCGTAGATGAGGAGAGCTAGAAAGTTGAAGAGGCAAGTCAACAACCTAGTAATCACAAAATGCACTTATATTTAATATTGGAAAGCAACAAACGAAATCAACAATAACACAAGCCTCAGATGAAGATTAGAAGCAGAACGTTTTTAACTCATAAAACCAATCAGTAAAATAACATTTAGTTAAATTTATATTTTAAATGATTGTCAATATACAGTATACACAAAATATCACATTGAACATTGAATTATCAAGAATGTATAAAAAAAAACAAAAAAAAAAATTCAAAATAAAACACAGCCATAATAATTTGAAAAAAAACAGCGATAATTAATTATAAATTTAAATAAAAAAAAAAAGAAAAAAAGCTGTTCATATTATTTAATTCGAAGTTATGAGTGTAATTACATAAATCGCTGCCTACATTATTATTATTATTACACTCTGTAATAATGTAATGAGTATTATTTTTGTTGAGATTATATATAAACACAAAAATATTAGACATTGAACACTAGAGAATAAATAATATAAGCTGAAATATAAAAATAAAACAAGGTATAATATGTACAAAAAAGCATGTAAGCATGAAATTCGCAAATATCACAATAAAACAAAAAAAACAAGTCTAGAAAAGATATACGTCGAATATCGATAATGTACCGCTTTTTTTTTTTAAAAAAAAAGAGAATATTAGTAAAACAAAACCTAATTGTTTTTTTTTTTCAAAAAAAACATTTGAACAATTAGAGAAACAAAAAATACACAATAACACAGATAGAATGAGAGATCACAGATAATGTAATTGTTTTTTTTCGTTTTCTATTCGTTTATTATCAACATGTTCAATTGTCAATTTTTTTCAACATTGAATGAGATTAGTATCGGGGTTATTTTGTTTTTTTAATGAGAATGTGATAAATATTAAATAGCTGATGAGATTGTGAACAAATAAAAAACAGGAATTATTAAAGATGAATGAATTATTATTTTCTTTTTTTTTGAACATTTATTTTTTCATTTACTGCTTTTTATTTTGTTTAATTTATGATATTTCCAATCTTTTTCACTACATTTCAATGGATTATTTGACAAATTTTGATGATTATAAATTTCTGGTTTTGATAAATCTTGTGATGTAACACAATGAGCTTGTGGACCATGATTTGGTGCAAATACAAAATCCCATAAAACCTGAAATAATTAAATAGTACAAGTTAATAAAATTTCAATGGAAATTTTTTCTGCGGTTTTTAACTTTAACTAGATTGGAAGTTTTTTGATTCTGGTAAAGCTGGATAATATCGTTCATGGTGTAAATGTACTAATATTTTCTTCTATCTTGAAATGTACGCACAAAGAAAGTGGTTATTAAAGATTGGAATAGAAAATATCCCAGGCCAAGTTGGCCGTAGGAATTCCTATTTTGGTGGCAAGCTATTTACCGTATCAAAGCAGCTCTGTGAAAACCGATTGTTGAGATAATGGCTTCATGAAGTTGTTTCATAAAACTATGAACAAGCTTCCATGTACTTAAGATCACTAGCAAGCCAGTTTTTCTTTTAGTTGTCTCAAAAATAACTGCTTTAGCAATATGGTCAAGCACCAACTGAAAATCGCTCACTCGCTTCTAATAGCCCTCGAAAACATCTTATAATCCAATGCTACCAATAAATCACTATGCTATTCATTTTTTGAAACCATGAATCGGTCAATCTTAGGCCGCCATTAGAAACCTGGAAGCACTGCACGGCCGTTTCGTCCTGATATGGGACTCCTCAGCAGTGCTATTGCCGATATAACCTAACTAGACTGGTGTCATTATATCTCTAGTTGATGTTAATTTATGATGAAAACCATCGAACAAATATTTTTACAAAGAATCATTAGTGATATCTTGAACTAACCAGATATTAGTCTAATGATAAGTGGGATGTTTATGCTATTGATTAAGATTTGTCTTCTCTATGTTAGGAATCAGATATATGCTATTGGTTGAAAATCTGGTTCTATTTTTTGAGGGAGAATTGGTGTATAGATTATAAATGAGTTATGCATACATTTGTGTATCAGTTGTTTAATCAAAGCTTGGATTTGTTTCTGAATTAGCTGATTTGAGCTCGTATTTTATAGTGAGCGTATAATCGACTAGCTATCTCACTCTCTTTCGCTCGAAAAAGAAATAAACAAACAACAATTCAATCATATTTTCCTAGTTAAAATCATAAATTGATCTAAACAAGACCACTACGATAAAACCGGGCAAGCTCTTTATAGTCGTTTCATCCTATTGTGAGACTCATCAGTAGTGCATATCCACAGGAATCGAACCAAGAACATTCAGCTTCACACGTGAACGCCTAACCTCTAGGAAATCGAGTCACATGGTTGACTTTCCTGTGTGCAAAACAGCTGTCTAGTGCTTCCAAGGTTTTTCATCGCTAGTCTAGCTTAAATTAGTTTATGATTTCAACCAGTTCATTAATAAATTCAACACACATTACGAACAGAGAGAAACACACAACTTACTTTACACAATGATGTATGATATGGTAAATGATCATAATATTCACTAGCAATTTGTTTTAATTTTGGTAAATTTGTATAAGCAATATACGGAAAATCATGATGTTCCACATGATAACCTAAATTAAACATAAGATAATTTCCAATACCATAATATGAATGAGTTGCTTGTCTATCAGTAAATAAATAATGTTCACTAATAAAATGTCCAGATAATGGATGTAAACCTAAACCTAAGAATGTACCAATAATAAAATAATTTAATGTCCATAAACCAAAATAATACCATATTATGACATCGAATAGTATTTGTATGAAAAAATTAATTATTTCCCATAATGTTAATGGTAATGGATGTTTAATAAATGGACGAAATGCATAAAATAATGGATGAATAATTAACCATATTAATCGACTAATTGGATGAGTAAATAATTTCACTTCAAAATTTAATGGCATATCAGCATCACCTTCTTCATGTCCTAACCATCTGTAAAAGAAGCATAGAAAAATAATGATAAGAAAGAAGAAGAAGGATAGTGAAATGCTTGTCATAAAAATTTTTTATTTTAAAGTCTCAATCGTCTCGCGGACCTCAACCAGGTAGTCTACGCCTACCAAGATGATTAAGTCCAGTTGTCAGAGACTTCATGGATTTGTTCCATGTTTTAGATTGGCCACCTCTAGCCTTCTACCCACTTATTCCTACATCGCAAAACATAACTCGACGAGGCGGTTGAGCATTCGTAGCATATGTCCCAACCATCTCAACTGATGAAGTTTCACTGCTTCGAAAATTGACCTATCATCCTTAGCTTATATCCTTTAACATCCACCCCTGTAAATTCAGATGACAATAGTGTTACCTCTAAAAACATGTCTATGACAAAGTTGAATAGGAGTCGGGAAAGTGTATAACCCTGATAAACACCACTTATAGTTCCGACACCAGTTCGCCATAAGCTCTGACTCGGTCAGTAGTATTCGAGTAGAGATCCTGTATAAGGTTGACGTACTTCTCTGGTTCTCTTTGCATTGACAGACACTACCACCGAACCTTATGATCTACAGAGTCAAATATGACCTTAAGGTTGAGGAAAACAACTATAGTCGAATGCCGAAATGTGTGTTTATTTTCCAGGACCTGACGAAGAGTGAATATTTGGTCTATACATTCATGTCCAGGTCTGAACGCACCCTGATTTTCTCGAATCTGCTCTTCACGAGCCGTAATTAGGCGTTGAAGTATTGTTCAAACTATTATTTTAGAAACTATATTAGTCAAACTGATTCCTCTGTTTGTGTCACATAAGAAATTTGTCTTTTCTTATAGACCTGGTCTATCAGTGATTGAGACAAGTCAGATGGGATTACCTCATCAGAGATTGAACCTAGAACCTTTAGGCCTTGCACATGCTGCTTGAATTACTCAGTGGCCATTAAGGGGATACTGATCGGTAGTAATATACCAGGACCGATTGTCTAATCGGATTCAAACCTTGATTTGAAGCAATCTTTTAAAAATTCATAATAATACAACAACAAATATAATCTTGTAAAAGGACGGCTAGTAGTTGAATAAAGGACATTGACTTTAGTTGTATTAAGGACTTGTCATCTAGGTGTATTTGCATTCCAAAGTTGGTGTTAAATCTGGTAGTCCAATACAGGACCGTTCACTAAAAGCAGGAACACATTATGCACTTGTATACTGAGCTCAGGTGGACACTGGTAACTACATTTCATCTTTTCGATATAAACCTGCGGCATAATAATTATATTGAGATAATCCGTCCAGTATACACATATATTAACCATGATTTACTGCTGAATAGCTTCGTCATGATGTTCTCGGAGTTTTAGCGCGAAGTCGTGACCAGTGAAGTTCAACCCTGTCGGGTGCAGAAAGTTACCGACTAAAGACAATGGATCGGGCGGCTCAATACCTTAGACTGAATAAGGTTAGACGTTGACACCGTCGGATAACCGCTCAGTAGTCTACAGGCTAAGCCGAAGGACGTTGGTTTGATTCACGCAATCGTGGGTCGTTGATGTGAAATGCTACTGATGAGTCCCATACTAGGATAGAACGGCCATTGTCCAATGCTCCTAGGCTTCTAATGGTGCTCTAACAATGATCAATTCATTATTTCAATGAAAATTAACAATCTTTAGAAATCTATCATAAAAATCGTAATTAAATTTCAGTTGAAAATATGAACAATTAGGATAATTTGAAACAAACAATCAGACAAACAAACAAACACACCTAAACGATTCTTACCTATGATGTGTTTGATGATATTTTTTATAAGATATAGCAATTGGTAATCCCATTGGTAAATTAATAAATATTGAATATAAACGATTTGCTTTACCATATTTATGTCCAAATACTAAATTATGACCAATTTCATGTATAGCACAACCAAGTGAATGATTAATAGTACCACTAATTGTATAAGTTAAGAATAACCATATAAACCATGATGGTTGATAAATGGATATAAAATAAGCTACGAGGAATTGTAGGAAAACTTCTAATACAGTAAAATAAACTAATTTAATATCTGGTCCCATTAATTGTTTAATTTCTGGATATTTTGATAAAATCTCCTTGAATGAGAAAAAAAAGTACAAAAGAAAGGCTTAAGTAGAAAATGAAAGAATCGATTTTGAAGACAAGGTGATATTTAATGTAACAAAAATAGTTTGATCTTATTTTCCTTTTTGATCATGTTTCACTATCTTGTACAATATAATGATTGGCAGATGTGTTACAAATGCTCAATCACCTACTGCCACAGCAAGTGATGTTTTTTAGTGTTGGGGTCGGCTGGAAGGAAGTTAGGCATGGACAGACCAAAATATTGGCACAAATCCATGAAGTCACTGACAACTGCATTGAGTTATGTTGGTAAATGTAGACTACATGGTTGATGTTCACCAGGTGATAGTAATCGATGGTTCGAGACATTGAATAATGACATGGCTCAAAACTCTTTGAAATGGTTCAGGTGCGTTCATTTCTCGTGTCCTCTCAAATCTTAGACTTCCGAATTCCTCATGACCGTTTTTTCTCTTTGTTTAATTGATTCCTCTGGGGTATGCATCTCGAACAATATATTCGATCATTATTTTTTTGATTACCGCTATTACTTTTACTACCTCTACTACTATAAGATTTTAACTGACAGTTCGATCTCTGTATTCTAATGTGGTACGGTAACTTGAACTGATGTACGTATGTTCGAAGTTCTATGTTTTAGCTGGCTGACTGATTGACTGTTATTCGAGGCCTACATGAATTTAAATTATAACCTTGGGTGATGATACGTCTGTTACATTGAGAGCGAACTGTTTTTACAGATTTTTATATATCATAACTTATTGAATTATTGAATTCCCATGGTTAACCCGGATAAATGAAATCTAAATTACTTGGTAATTAATATAGATCTTGTATGAATTGCTTTAACACACGTTATATAAATTATTGCCCATAATGGACTGGGTAGCTCAGTGGATAATTGGTTCATATTTGACTAAAAAATTATTGAATACGAGTCTCTGAGTGAATATTAATAATAATAATAATAATAATAATAATAATAATAATGATAGTAATAATATAAACAAATCTAAACATGACTTGTAAGTAGTATACAGTGGAGTGTCACCCAGAAGTTATTGCTGTAGAAGGAAGTTTTGAATCAGGATCTATGGCCTGATGGAAATGTTTTTAAGACTACAAGACATGTGAAAGAAGATCGTCCGTAATCTAAAGGCTTTGCAAATGGAAGTCTGCAGATTAGGTGTACACACTGTGCTATGAAGCTGTGTCTTCTTTGAATAAATCATCTATTCTACCTATCCTTAACGTCTTCGTTCATCACATTTTGTATCGCTGGATAGTCTTGAAGGCTCTACTGTGGAGTCGGGCAGAGGCGGTGTTTAATGAAGTGGTGTCAGTCGACAGGGAGGAGATGTTGGATGTGCAGGTTGCTGGGCTCGACAGTTTTGTGTGGTGATTATGGTATATACTACTCGCATTGTGGCTTATATGTACGTCATATGTCATCCAGTAGTCAGCTACTGAGTTTGAAATTGAATTAAATAGATTTTTTGATTTACATTACTAACCACTATCTATTATAATGCATAATTCAGTAATTAACAGATAATGTGATCGTTGTGTTACCTACAGACCGCTGGGGTTCGATTCCATGTTGGAGCATTGTAGTAGAATATTCATAAGGTAATAAAAACTAGTGATTCATGAAGAAATTTCTCTTTAAATCAATTACCACTTTCAGAATTATTACTGGACTCAGCACTGGATTATAATTTTACTGTTTTGTGTAAGAGCATAGTCAGGAAGTGATTTTTTTTAGGAAGCTTAGAAACTGTTCTATATTGAAATATAATCGTATTTTTTACATGACTGTGTCTGTGTGTGCACCTACGTACATGCGTACGTAGGCAACCGTTGCGTCATCAACAGTATACATGTACAACCCACGCTCGCGGGAATCGAATTCAGAATCTCTCAAACAAGTTTTCAACCTCGAGACCCTGGAGCTTTGATAATATGATCAATCTGAGGTTTTTGCGCAGCACCACGCATTGTCTTCAGTGAGTTATTGTCTACACCCGATAGGGTTGAGCTCCATTGGTTAGGGCTTCAGTGATGGATGGTTTCAATGAAAACAACATTCTCCAAAACTATATAATGAACGTCAAGCTACTCAATGTTAGATTTACTCATATTTATATTTTTAACATGCAGATTTATATAAATTAATCTGAGTTGCATTTAACAATGGTAATCCAATAACTTACATTATGAACATGTAAATCGTATCATATAATATAATTAAACATCTATAGTCCTTTAGAAGATGTGATAATATTATATGTCATGCACGATTGTAAAGAAAATCCCTTTCACATGTATAATATACAGAGTCGATTATAGTTCAACATGTGAGATCACTAATTGGTAACTCAGTGTTTTAACAGTTAAGTAAGAAATCTACAGATTCTAGGTTCAATCCTAGATACAGTTGTCAATACACATTGATAAGGAGTCTCATAGTGAAACAAAACAGTCATCCATGGCTAACTAAGGTCAGTCAAAGATGTCGCAACCAATTCAACTGATGAATTTTTTAATACTTCATCTATTGGTCTGTCAACACAAGTAATTTAGTTTTAAAAGAATAATAATGATTTGAGATCGTCATGAAACTCTTTTTTTTTGACTAATAAACTTTGCATTTTCAATTGAAAACCTTTAACAAAAAAATATTTATTTTCTAATTAAAAAAATGAATTCATTAAAAACTATGTAAGTAGTTTGTTTCTTTTATGTCTTATTTGAAAAACATATAAACAACGAAATGAAATTTATAAAAATGTACACATGTCATAGTCGAAATATAATTTTATATCATAAATCTTTCTAACAAAAATTATCGATTGATTGGATGGATAGCAAAGTTAACTTCATAGATTATTTGAATTGTTAGATTCATAATTACAATTACCGAATGAATGTTTATAGTTATGAAGCTGGTCAAATTTATAGAACAGAACAGTAGAGAGTACAGAAATCGAATACTTGTAAGCTTCTTACATTAGGACATATTGACAACGAATACAATGTTTCTTGAATTTCATAATATTCTTTCGTTTTTTAATCAATTTCTAATGTGAAACATTTGAAAAATTCAATCAACTTTACAATACATTAAAACAAACTATATTCGGACTATTTTCGAAGTATTTATTTCTTGTTGTTGTTTGAGTTTTCAATTGAAATTATTTTATTTAAAATTTATGGTTTCAGTTTCACTCACTAAAAAATATTTTCAATTATAGTTATGGGGATTAGTGTTTTTACACATTTGAAATCATCAATCAATCAAAAATTGTTAGACCACCATTAGAAACATGGAGGCACTGCACGACAGCTGTTTCGGCCTGGTATGGGACTCATCAACAGTGCGCATCCACGACTCCTGCATCTCGAAGGATTCGAACCCGGGACCTTCGGTATTGTGCGCGAACACCTAACCTCCGGACCATTGGGCCGGCAACCAGCAGTGTTAATGTCTAACTCTGATTGATCCTACCCATTTGTCTTTGATAGTTACTTCTTACACCCGACAGGGTTGAACTCCACTGGTCACCTCTTCTTACTAGAATTCCGAGAATTTCCTCACGAACTAGTCACTAATGAGCATATTTTACAATGTTTTCAATTAGAGTTGTGGAGATTAGTCTATTTACACATTTGAAATCATCAATCAATCATTGTTAGACCACAACATTAGAAACCTTGAAGCACTGAAAATATTATTTGAATCATTGAAATATTCGTTGAATTTTATATTCATCATATCATTTGTAAATACATATACGTTGTAGTTTGAAATTATTAATGATCTAGTTTGTTAATTAACTTGAGATGAGTTTTTAACGATAAAAATAAACAGTGTACATTTTTATTAAAGGTGGACAATGGCTAGCAGTGGAATATAGGACACTAATTTCAATTGAATTTAAGATTTGTCAGCCGGATATACTTGTGTTCCAAAGTTGATGTTCATTTTAGGAGTCGAATCCAGTCCCGTGTGCTTCAGACACCATTGCGTTATCCCCTACTGAGTCATGAAGTCACGATCTTCACTGTTTTGTGCAATGAGATGAAAATTAATTCATTTTTTATTGATAGTTTGAATCTTTCCCATTGATGCGTAGTAAAGTTGCAAAGGAACAATAGTGTTTTTTAGCATATATACATCGTGTACGTATTGCCTTGATATAATTCTTAGATTGCAAGCATCCATCACTGCTTATACAGTTGTAGAAGTTCAATCCCTTACTTTGTAAATAAAGTTAGCAATTCTTCTTGTCATTACCTCTAAACAATAATCATAACCGTACAATGTATCTAGTTATTATCGAGTTAATGCTACAAAACTGTTAGGTAATGTACCGTTATCAAAGATTTTGTTGTTTAGGATTGGTTAATTATGGACACCTATATTCCATTCGAACAAATAATAAACCTTATTGTGCCAAAGTTGTTTGAAATGAAAATTTAAGAATCCCATGTGTGCTTAAGTGGTTATAAAGTGACTGGCATGAAACCTATCATGTATCTTAATGATGGAAAACGTAAACAGGAACATTACACTTACTGATTTGTTCTCCTACATGTTCATACTTCAAAAAAGAGAGATGAATATAATTAGGTTAAGTGAATTGTGTTTTATTGATATGAAAGTAAGTTTTCCGCCTAACTGATTAAATAAAAAAAGGCTACATACTTCTAGAATTACTTGTCATTTAATTTTACGTTTTTGTAGACTATTGTATATTCATTTATTATCCTTTGTTGTTCTTAATTATAACTTTCTGTACTTTTAAGAAAAGATTTTACTGTGTAGCAGAGAATGCTAAAGGTTGCTATCAGGTTTTTTGATGATTATTTAGATGTTTTAATGAATATAGTGAGAGATGAAAACCTGAAAACTCATGGCAACTCGATTCATATCTTTCTCTTTGTATATCATTTGACACACCAACACGTCAATACATTAAAATTCGTGTACATAAGCAAAAGTATAAAAACTCTACAATATCATACTATGCAATAAAACATGTAGTGAGGGCTGACCTAGTCATAAACTTATATATTATAAAGATCCTCATCAGATGAAAAGAAAAAATACGTTTCACTTTAATTTCAGATAGTTTGTTTACTGAATGTTTTCGATGTGTGCGTGCATGGTTTGATTGACTTGTTTTTGGTGAGTTGTGCAAAAAAGAAACTAGTTGAAATAATTCTTGTTGAGAATTCTATATTACACTAAACTTGAGTTATTGAATAAAGCCGTTTTTATCATTATTATTGATAGTTGCACCAAACGGAAAATGTGTAGTTTCAGAGAACCCGCATTCTCTGACCGAAGTGATATAAATAAATAATTATAGTTATGAATAAATTTAACAAGATACATAAGAAATTAATGATAAATGCCACACAATTAAATAACATACTTTTCGTCTTGATACATGTGGTTCTTCATCATAACTCCATTCATCATCACCATTGGTTATACGAAATAAATAAGTGACACCACGAAAAAAACTCCATTTATTCGATGTCACTATGATTAGAAAAATTATCAAGCAATAAGTTAAGTTCAAATTAACAATATACCAATTATTGTTTAGATCAGAAATAATTCGATTTTTGAAAAAAAATATGAATACTATGATTCAAAAGAATGATAATGAGACAATGATTTTGTTGGAATAAGTTTGAATCATCGAATATAATGTGGATTCTTTGAAGATAAAATCTGAATGATTTTATCAGGTCTATGATATGAAATATAACTCTGTATGGAGACACTCTGAGGTGTCTACCGGTTCCAAGCTCGAATAAAGGAGAAGGGTCGACATAGAGGTGAGCGACCCTCTGTCGTATAAAATTAACTCGTTAATAAAAAACTTTAACCAGAAAAATAATATTAAATGTAGGTTAGTATAAACAAAGATAAATAAGTAAGATAAGACATTAAAAAGTATTCAAAAGAGTGATAAAATAAGACTTTAGTTGTAATTGTTTCATAGGATGAGACGTTTGTAGGGTTTATTTATTTTGTGACAGGATGGTCATTCATTTAGAAAACAACATAGAACTTCAACTACCCATACATGAACTCGAATTGCCGATCATCATTATTGTATGTACCTTGTATGTTGGGTCCATATGGCTTTTTGTCCTAACTTTTGGACAAAACTAATTAAACTTTTCTTCAGGAGTTTCTAATCCCAAGTCTTTTCATTTTTTTTTCAATTATTCGCATAATATCTTGGTTGTTTTCACTTGAATGCTTGCTTATTAACTGTCTAGCTAATTTTTCTTCACTTTGCCTTTACGCTTCACATTCTTACGCCTATCTGCGTACACAGTTGCATGAAATAAATTCATCCAACAGAAACCGTATTGGGCTAATCATTCCTGCTTAGCCTAAATTTAGTTTACAGAAATTAAATGGAAGATTTGTTTCATTAATATAATTAGTATAATTCCAAAAGTGGAATCAGACCCTGGAGCACTAAATGCTATAGAAGGACAGTGAAATGGAATAACCAAGAAAAATATCAGCTTAAAAGAAACAGTGACCACATGATTATAATTTTTAGATGAACCACTGATATTTCAAATTGTACATCTTCACTTTTTCTATCGTTGAAATCATGAATTAATCTAAGCTAGGCCGTCACTAGAAACCTGGAAGCACTGTACAGACGTCTCATCCTTGCACTGAACTCACTAACAGTGCGCATCCATGACGTTTACCAGTGTGAGTTGAATTCAGAATCGTCAGCATCGTGCATGTATGCTTAGCCTCTATACCATGGAATCGGCAACCAGCGGCATAATCTTTAACTTGGGTTAATCCACGATTTTACACAACCTTCAAATATTGCCTGAGGCGGATAACTGTCTCATACTTGACGCGACTTAAACTCTACTGACCACGACTTCTTATTATAACTCCAGGAATTCATTTGGGAGCTAGTCACTAGTGAGCACATGATCATTATTAATGAAGGGGATTCGTAGAAATTGTGTTATTTTCATAGTTGAAGTATTGAGTTTTTGTGCGAAATTCTCTCATTCACTTAGTTGAATATCATCATGGCATTAGAACTTGCGTCAGTTTGTGAAAAAGAAATATCTTTTTCACCTAATACTGATTTCTCACATGAATTTAAACTAACTAATAATGACTTAATTGATTACAGCACGTGTGACCTCGTGTGACATGTGGTAATCACGCTTTGTGAAGGGCTAATTATATAACTTTGTCAATTAGTTGGATTTGTCAGTTATAGATAGTTACTTATATAGACATTGTAAATATCAGTTCATCCAATAAGTTATTCGTTGATTAATGTCCAATACTACTAATTTCATATCAAACAAATTTGACTGTACAAAAATCCTATAAAAAGTATTGTATGCATATATCAGTTTTTGATTTATTTTCAGAGTTAATTAAATCATTATCACCAGTATCTGTTTTGTATTATAGATCGTTGACTTTGAGGTTTCAGTATCAAGCATAAGTTATTTAGACATTTGAAATCATCAATCAATCATCGTTAGACCGCCATCAGAAACCTGGAAGCACTGGACGACCGTTTCGTCCTGGTATGAGACATTAACACCGTTGGACGCCGGCCCAGCGGTCCAATGGTTTAGACGTTCGCGCACAATACCGAAGGTCCCGTGTTTGAATCCTGCGAGATGCAGGAGTCGTGGATGTACTCTGCTGATGAGTCCCATACCAGGACGAAACGGCCGTCTTGCAATGCTTCCAGGTTTCTAATGGTGATTTCAACTGTAAAAAAACACTAATCTCCATTACTCTAATTGAAAATATCATAAGTTAATTAGTTAGGCGTTACACTATTAGAATAACTTATGATACGGCACAACTGAAATCTGTCATGACAACTTTAGTATCTCTCTCTCTGGATGAGATCGTTCACGATTAATAGTTTAGCCTTAGTAACTAACAACAGCAAAGACAATAAAAAAACATTGAGGAAACAGAATGCAATGAGATGAATTTACAATTCAGAAGCTTTAAAAGGTAACAAAAAAGAGAGAATGCATTTATGTCATTGCACAGTCGATTCGGAGTCATATCATCATCCAATATGTTCAACAAATTAGCTATAAACATAGTGTAGACATCACCCAGATAGTCTAGAATCACGCCAACTTGGTTTCAATTTACTTATTTGTTTGATACGATTAAGGAATTTGAAGAAAGGTTCCGAATAAATGAAATGTACTAGTCATCAAGAACAAAATAAGATAATTGCGTAAACTGATCCTAATGTATTGAGATTGAGAAACGTTTTGTAAAATAATCATGTAATCTTTAACTAACTGAGATGATTATTGTTAATTCTACCATCAATCAACAATAGTCTTATTTTAATAATGGGAATCGATCAATAAATATTGATCTAGTCAATATTTTTCTCCTCTTTTGTTTTAACCAAAGACAATCAATGGAGGCTTCAAATGGGACTGGCTCAACATGGATACAAACATCTGCATTGTATAATTCAGCTTCAAAACATTTAAATTTATTGTTATTTACTGTTGACTTATTACAAATTGTATACACACAATTGTTTTCATATTTGTCATTATGGTTACACATCTAATTCAAAGTCACTTGCTAGTAAACAACTCATAAATTATATAGATAGTCAAAATAATAACAAATAATTAATTCATGTGTGAAAAATATATACAAGTCAACAACATAGACAGTTATTATGAGTATAATTATGAGTATAATTGTTAACAGCCATATAGAAACTAATAAATAGATGTTAGCTTTCAAATAGTTCATTGAAAAAATTGAATGAATATAGATAGGTGCATCAATAACTAAAGATTATTTAAAGTCTATACAAACTCCACCTACAGTTGTTTTAGGGTGAAGGTTGCTCCAGATGAACTGAACTATGATTACGTAATAATATCTATAGTGAAATCAATTTAAATTAAAGAGAACTAGGTTATTTCATGCTAGTTTAAGATCCCTTTCGAACAATGAACAATCAGAATAGAAATAGGAACGAATATTGAGTTAATTCCAACTACCTTTGGTCACCGTAACTTTCTTAGTTACAACAAATTATAGTCCCAATGTTCACGCATTCCTAACTCAAATTAATTCATAAGACATCGTACGACCATCATTTGTTGTCATGGCTGAACTGCACTTTTCAAAATCTGTCACAAGAATTTCAAGATTCTATCATGAAGCTTGTTAGTTCGTGACTATATGATTGTCAGAATTATGTCAAGCAATGTGCAGAGATTATTTATATTTAAAATGGTTGTTGATACCTACTGATAACAATCAATTCTAATCAAGAATAAAACAGTTTAATAGTACTTTATGAATTTGAGTAATAGTAATTCTTCACCTCTAATTTTAAACATCTTTATAATACTTAAGTTTCAACTGACTACCATCCTCACACTGTTCCAGCACTATTCTGAGTTGAAATCCATTTTTTATAGATGCATTAATTTTATCAAATAACCCATAATCTTTTTTATATTGAATAATACTAGACTGGCTAACTAATAGACATGTAAGGATGTGTGTGATTTGACAAATGAAACATTACAACTTTGAAACAATTCATTATTGGTTACAATCTCACTTATATACAACACACATTTAATATTATTAACCTACTAGTATATGATAAATTGAGTAGAATTCAGGATATATATTTCAATTTTTGTAGAATTTGTTGGCTAGCTGTACATAGATCTTAGTTTGAACGTTTATGCTATGACTTAAAGGTAGTATTTTCTTCATCGCAAACGCCATCACTTCTATATATAATTCATTTTTACTAAGAGCTTCTAACCAAACCTAGTGAAAAGGTGATATTTGTAAGTAGAAGGAAAATGTAATTAGTCATCGAACATGCACAAATAGATGCAATCTACTGACTAACAAAAATATATGATTTCATTTGCTCTAATTGATTTCTACTCTGGACTCTATTCTGAGTATGACTGTTTGCAATTGTGTAGAATACAATATTTTCTATGGCTTACTTTAACTTTCTAATTTTTTTTTAATGAATCGTTGAACAAGTCTCTGTGTAGTGTGCCGTAGGATTATCCAATTCACTAGTGATATAAACTCAGTGACCCATCTGGTCTCTGTGTATAATATGAAGATACCTATTCTACTGAGACGCTGTTACCTGAAAAGATCATCTGTTTAAGATGCACACACACCGATAGAGGTTGATCAATCTGATTCCCTATTTTCATCAATGTGAAAAATCAAACCGTTATACACAGACGATCGATATACTACGGAGAATAATTTGAGATAACCTTGTACATGATTATTTTTAAATTGTACTATTTCTTAAGTCAAATGGATTCACGTCTATTGATCAGATTACTTTATGATAATCAGTGAAGTTCAGTCACACAGAATAGGGATCAGTTATAAATCAGTAATTATTTAAGTCCGTATGAAATATCGTAAAATATTTGAAGTTAAACAAGAGAATCGTTGTAGGTCATTTC